AAAATATTTATGATTAAATAATTATATTTGGAAACAGACTGTACGATTCGACCTTCTATATCAACTGAAAAAGTGTCAATATCCGAACGTCGTAAGCTGTCTTATTTTTTTCCGTTGAATTGAACGAGGTAAAAATAATTATTTTTTATGTTGATGTCACGTGTGACATTTAAGAGATAAATACAGTTTTGTTTTTACACATATCTTAATCACGCAACACCAAAAATTTAATCAAAAAAAAATGTACATATAAATAATTTTCTTATTCATTCCTTTCTATATCCATATAATATACCACTTACACTAAACATTGTATTTGAGATTGTTTGTCAACTTCAACCATATTTGGAGTCCACACAACCAGACCCCCGTAAGTATTGAACAAGAGGCCCAGGGGCCACATCGCTCACCTGAGCACTGTGGCTAGAAAAAAAGCAAAAATCAGTTTAGTATTACAATGCTTAAATGCATAAGTGGTTCCGACCTACCCCTAAAAGGGAGGGGGGTATGATTTGAACAAAATTGAATCTACACTAACTAAGGATGCTTACATTTTCTTTTTTGACCAACTGTGACTTTTTTCCTACAAGTTTAAATTTCATTATGGCCCCTACCTACCCCTGAGGGTCATGATTTGATCAAACTTGAATCTACACTCTCTGAGGATGCTTCCATATATATAAATATGACCGATCATGGCTTTGCTGTTCTTGAGAACAAGATTTTTTTTTAAAGATTTCTCCTATATATTCCTATGTAAAACTTTGATCATCCATTGTGGCCCCACCCTACCCCTGGGGGTCATGATTTGATCAAATTTGAATCAACACCACCTGAGGATGCTTCCATATAAATATGACCAATCATAGCTTTTTTGTTCTTGAGAAGATTTTTTGAATTTTTTCTTATATACTCCTATGTAAAACTTTGATCGTCCATTGTGGTTCTGCCCTACCCCCAGGGGTCATAATTTGAACAAATTTGAATCTACACCACCTGAGAATGCTTCCATAAAATATGACCAATCATAGCTTTGCTGTTCTTGAGAACATGATTTTTGAATATATTCCCTTTATGTAAAAATTTGATCGCCCGCTGTGACCCTACCCTACCCCCAGGGGTCATGATTTGAAGAAACTTGAATCTACACTACCTGAGGATGCTTCCATATAAATATGACCAATCATGGCTTTGTTGTTCTTGAGAAGAAGGTTTTTAAAGATTTTCCCAATGTATTCCTGTAAAACTTTGATCGCCCACTGTGGCCCCACCCTACCCCTGGGGGTCATGGTTTGAACAAACTTGAATCTACACTACCCGAGGATGCTTCCACATAAGTTTCATATTTTCTAACAGAGTGGTTCTCGAGAAGAAGATTTTTGAAAGATGCCATAAATTTTTCATGAATTCGCAATTATTTCCCCTTGGAAGAAGGTATGTCCCTTCATTTGAACAAATTTGAATCCCCCTCACCCAAGGATACTCTGTGCCAAGTTTGGTTGAAATTGGCCCATTAGTTCTGGAGAAGTTGAAATTCTGAAAAGTTTACTATACAACAACGACGCCAACGACGACGACAGACAACGGACAAATTTTGATCAGAAAAGCTCACGTGAGCCTTTGGCACAGGTGAGCTAAAAACGAAATCTCGAATTCCAAATACAATTTGACATTGGGGTATAATTTAAAAAATCAAAAATTATCTGGAGTGATAAATTGAAGTTTCTAGAATTTATCATAAGTTTTGATAATTGTATTTATGTGCAACATAAAATAATTTAAACCACCGTATAGCATTGCATTGTATTGGTAATGTATTTTTTTCCGGATATTCCAATGCCACACTCAACTTCTGTTTATATCCGTACCTTGTTACGTCATCATTGTTTATCTCCATTCTCTATCCAGAGTTGTCGTTCCCGCAACGCTCCCACAGTGTTGGGAGCGCAGCGGAAGACAACTCTGGATAGAGAATGTGTTTATCTCTAGTCTGCACACTTTGTCTGAAAAAATGTTTTGACCCACCCACCGGGTGACCCCTACTATTATGATGCCTCTAAAATTTCATTGGTCGAAATGAATACTGTATTAAACCATATTATGCTGTCTACCCACATCATATTGTTAATGTGCCCCCTCCATGTGACCTACCCCCCCCCCCCCCCACACACACACACACATCAAATCAGCATGTCCCCTCCACGTACCATACTGTCCAGATCATATTCGATATAACACACAAGGAGCCTAATAACTGACGTCACATAAGCATCAAACGAAATGAACTTGATTAAAAAATCTTCGACAGGAGAAATTTGTTAGACTTAGAGGGGTAATACGGAAATATATGGGGTCCTAAAAAATATGCATATTGGGCTGTAGCCACTAGGTACCACGACTGGAGCGTTTGATAGCACCATCGCCTATGCAGCTGACGTGTATCTGTTTTGTCATTTTGTTTGTGTTGGAGATGACAATCTAAGTTGGAATAACTTGTGTCCAATCCTATGATGAACTAAATAGATGCATATCCTGTTACTTGCGGAATGTAGAGGGGCAGCATTCTTTCGCCTCTCCAGTTTCTGGTGTCCCATTAATAAGTGGGTGTTTTGTTTTTTTTTTGGCTGATGGGGTCCATTTGAATAATTAGGGATATAAGAAGTATTACAATAATTTGTGAGCTGTTATTGTTTCTTGATAAAGTCTATTAACAATGGTGGGTAAATCATATTTAGATTAATTATACATTTTACAACCACATATCTTAAACTCCATATGTGCAGTATGATTGGATGCAAACTCATATAATTATACATGTATATACATGTATTATATATCGTTTAATTTGTAGATATATGGTACCCCCCTGTAGTTGTTTTTGTTTTTTGGGGGGTGGGGGGGTGGGTGGGTGGGTTGGCTTTGTTTTGTTTTGTTTTTTGATCTTGTATATTATTTTGTAACATCATATTAAACTAACCATAATTTATTATTTTAGGGGGATCTTTTACATCTATGTGATTGTGGTATAAGTTTATAAACATAATTTTGAACCCCAATATGTATGATTCTAGCAATATCTTGCACCCTTATATCATTGGGGTTTACTTAAGCAATATCCTACACCCCTATAGGATCGGGGTTTAATTTTAGCAGGATCTTGCACCCCTATATGGTTGGTGTTTACATGTACTTAAGCAATAGCCAGCACCCGTCTATGGTCGGGGTTTAATTTTTGCAAGATTTTGCATCCCTTTATGGCCCTTATTTGGTAATTTTTTGTTTGGCATACAAATAAATGCTCCTTTACAACAACTAAAAGGTTTAGATACTGACTTCTTTCTCTTCTGTGATTTCAATAACGGAAGCCTATGGTTATATCAAAAGAGATGTGTATGTGAAATACCCTAGTTGTTGGACTCGATAGCAAGGGAAGGACATGGACACTATTTATATGGTGGGACTACTAGTATTTTGTTCATTTGGGTAATTTCTGTTTAAATGTCACCGATTCCATCTTGAATTTCAATGGACATTTCTGATGTGAATATAATCAGGTTCTAAGGGAGGTCATCCCGATAGGCAGGTTGCGTTTCCTTGGGTTCCACGGGGATATTTACACCTTTGTATAGATATTGATAAACAATCAACATTAAATGTAATTAATGTTTCATCAATAAACGTAATTAAAATTAATTTGTTGTCAATATCTATTGCATCTGGAATTATGAACATTTAGATGTTATACACACTGAGAACTGCAACGTACGTATCCTTGTTGCGAGTTTTCGAGTATTCAACTTAAGTTCTTTCAAAAATTACCTCTTATAATAAATAACCCTATGTTTTACATAGCTGACATTATAATTTTAATTGCACTATCTTGCAAAAGGAACTGGAACCTCGTAATGCGTTCATTTCCCGGTCATGACAAACAGATGTATATCCTTCCTTCTATACAATGTAATTGATTGGAAAATACCAAAATAAAAATGTATTTATTTTTCTTGATGCAGATGCTTTGTATTGTCTGGACATCAGTGTTTTGCGAACCCATCACAGGTAAAACCTATGTTTTTAATATTTGTCTCACGTTGTCTTTTTTTGTGATTTTCCGCTGGTGGATCTAGGTTTTTGTATATAGTTGGTGTAATGAGACCCCCCCCCCCCCCCCCCCGTAATGATTTTTTTTTATGGCGCTAAAAGTTGCTTGTAGTGAAACTATGATAACTTGATGTTTTAAGGCTTTCTCTGGAATATAAAATTAGTTATTAATATTTATCATTGATTCTCGAGAAACAATAAAAATTAGTGTTTATACATGTGAGTAACTAATTTAAATATTTATGCAGTACACATTACTTTCACTTTTACAAGTAATCTAGTGGCAGAATTGAGACATACGTCCCCTATGCCTTTCTTTGAATCTGCCCAGTTTTTGCTACAGTAAATCTGTAATGAATTAAGGATTTTAAAAATCTTACAATTTATTGTTTTAAATTCCAAGTTTGACTACATATAGCCTATACTGAGAGCTGTGTATTATACGTGACCTCCTCATCTGTTGACACCTGTTCTGTAACAATTTACAACGATTCCCTATCGTTTACAGTCTCAATTGACAACACTCCAGTAAATTTTCCTGTGGATTCTACCAGAACTTTTGAGGCAGTGAGTGATGGTTGCCATGAAAACCAAAAAATACTCAATGGCACATCAATTACAAATATATCTACAATTCCAGGTTTGAATGTTTTTATTTTCAATGTATAACGGCATTTAATTCCCAGATACAATATGTAGTTGTATAATTACATATCGCATGATTCGCCTAAAAATAGAGTTAGATAAACAATGATAACCCTTTTACAGCTCAGATGATAATGTTAAAACATTAGGGAATTTATAAAAACTTGTACTTGGTAGAGATATACGACTCATCTAATGTAACTGTCGTGAACACATCGGAGAGTACAGAACTAAACTGCATAGCAAGGGGGGCCATGAAAGACGTACAGAAACGCTGGTACAGACGTGGATCTGACAGTATTGTCAGCAATAAAACTACTCTCTTCTTCAAAAGTGTTTCCTATGCGGACACAGGAAGTTATATTTGTGTCATCAAGTACCAGTCATGTGATACTAATACAACCCAGAACGGAAGGAAAAATCTGACAAAAACAGTTCATCTAGACGTTCAAGGTGAGATCAACACATTTGATAAAGCTTGTATACAGTAAAACACGCTTATAGCGAAGTGTCATGAACGAAGGTTGTTGAATTGTTGTGATCCAATGTTTATAATACGTTTAAAACAATCCCTTGGCTGTAAGCGTGAGTTCATTATAAGCGTGTTCGTTGTTGTTACCGCTTTTTTTTCCTATGTCTCTTTACGCAAGATAGTTCAGGCAGTGAAATTTATTTTAAAAAAATGTATTTCTCGTTTTCGGTTGCAAAAAGAGTTTCTAAAAATAAAATTACTTCTTTTTTAAACATAAAGCATTTTAATACTGTCTCATATAATTGTATTAAATGTTTTATTTCCAAAATATGTTATCTATTGCTTTTATGACCAGTTTGTTGGCAAGGACAAATTTAGGATAATTTTCTTTTCATTCAAACCAGGTGCACCACTTTTAATTTTACCGGATAGGCGGAAATCATTCCATGTCGCCGAAGGGCAGTCTATTCTGTTTAATATTACAATAGCCAGTTCTCCCCCTCCTCTTCAATCTCTTACCATCGTAGAGTCTAACAACAGAAACCAACTTCAATTTGATGTTGAATTCAACAGGACGGTTATGTCGTTTTCTGATGATATAGCGATTTCTAAAGACGTGCCTGTGTACACAGCATACATACGTCTAAATAACATTACGTCTACCTGGACAGGGGAATACATTCTGTGCATCAACAATTCTTATGGATACGCTACCTATGAGTTCTCCATAAAAGTGTTCCGTCCAAATAAAGGTACTTTCTTTCGGTAAATATCAACCCGCTTTTCTTGCAAAGAAAAGTGTGTAATGGAATTGTCATATTTCCAGTTTTACATGCATTGGTAAAAACTGAACAAATGTACTATAATTCAGAAGAAACCCAAGGGTTGAAACCAATCTTTAAGTAAAAGAACCTTAAATTCTTTAATTTATACTGTCTATGTAGTTTCAGTCATGTATGGTTGTTATCATCTCTGTTGAAATGGATAAAAGCAGAGGACAATAAATCCTATATAATTTCTGTATAGTTTCAGTGTGGCAGTCTAGGGCCGTGGAGATTGTAGGAGGTGGTATAGGGGGGTTCATATTTCTGTTTCTAGTGGTCGGGATCATCTACATGTGTCAAACACGATACAAGCGTAAGTATTTACTAATGTATGGTTGTGCCCCCTCAAAGTGAAATTGCTTCCTACGGGCCTGATAGGTATGTAGCTCTGTTTCAAACCCTTGCAATATATGCATATATATATTTTTTAACTTTATTTTAATTGCAGAAAAGGCCCTACAAGAAAAAATGTAAGTAGCTTTTAGCACCCCAGTGCTTAGGAACAGGTTTTTGTTCTTGCATTTAATGCACTCATAGTTCGAATTTTGAAATATTGCTGATACGTGAGAGAGAGAGAGAGAGAGAGAGAGAGAGAGAGAGAGCAATTGAAAAGTATAAATTATGGTTTGCTGTAATTTTACAGCAAGGAATTTGTTGAAGCTGAGAGAAAAGGAAGTATGGAGAGTTTGGAAGTTTTGGGTCTTGGAAAAACAACTAAAGGTACTGTAAATGTTGTTCTCTATACTTGTACTGAGCTGTGTAAAATAGGGTTATGTACCATTGATTAATCTCCAAACTACCGAGGCCTACGGGGACTAAAATTACCCAAAACAATGCTAGGTCATAGATATTCTCCAGGAATCCTCATGACCTTATCACAATTCTTTTACCGTAAAAGTTAAAAGTAATCTGAAAGTTTCTCCATTTTATATACCCAACTAGCAGGATTTTCTCGTGGGTCACATATCTGGCGAATTTGGGTCTACAAGGTATACTACCCTTAAATTTGGCGGATATTGTTAAATCCTATTCTTTGTATTTGAAAACCATTCTTATTATGCATGTAAAATTTCTTTGATCAATTTTAAAAAAAATTCCAACCAAAAAAATGTACTCAAAGATGAAGGTAATAATGCCTTCATAACAAGGATGCTGTTTCTATTCACTTCCAAACCAAATACACGTTTCATGTATCTCACTTAAGATACTTTCTTGATCACGTTTGCAAAACAGTTTCCAGTGGCAAATACACAAACTGATAAAAAAAAAACTTTATCGTTTTATAACTGAATCGTTTGAATCTACTTCAATAGCTGGCGTTCACAGTTATGGTCAATGTAGACAATTTGTTAATGTCTGGCTCTCGTTTTCATTTTTGTATGTACATGAACTATAGAGCATATTCTTTCTTTCGTCTTGGGAAGTCCATGAATAGATGACCTTAACCCTATATATTTAAGCATTTAGATAAGACCTTATAAATGTCCGTCAGGTCACAGTATTAAAAACTATATATTGCTTATTTCAAAATTTAAGATAGTTGTAGGTACATGTAGGTTAAAACAGTGATGCATATACAGCTCTACTGATTTGTTTCTGTATTTTATTAACCTAAACAAATCTTAAAATAGAAAAAAAAGCAAAAGACGTTTAAAAATATAAATTACATCAGATAAAATAGGGCTAGGAATTTAAACTTATTAAAAAGGGATAATTCTACATATACGAATAACTTTTCATGAGTAAAAAAGAATCAAATATGATAATTCAAACTCCTTTAAATAAAGTTTTATTTGTATTCGATCTTGACTGGTGTAGGGCAAAAAGTCTCGACATGTTTCCCCCCTAAATTCAGGTACCATATGAATTTGTTCAGGATGTTTTTTATAAATTCGTTTCCGATATATATGCAATGGCTACAGTCTAATACTGCGTATATGTTTTTCCCTGTTTGTTAAAAATTCAATGTTTATGTTATTGTTTGTATTCTCGATGATTAGATTACGTATTATATCCATATAAAACTCTTTTAATTGTTTTTTTTTTTTCATAAAATGAATTTCGTTAATACCTGTTTCTTCTTTACAGAGTATACATATAGACTTACTTTCTTTCTTATTTCTAAACTAGTTGGTAGGTGCCTGTCATTAATCTCACTTTTATGTCCAGGTTTGATGTTTTCTAGCGCAAAGAATTACAATGTTTTTTCTTCCTCTACGAAGCGCAGGAGGATAAAACGTACGCTCAACTAGGACCTCGGGTCACCCGCAAATAGTTCGTCATTTTGCCTAGTAATAAAACATTATATGAACTCTTCAGGGATTAAAGGCACAAAAGTAAATTCATCTGTATCAATATGGTGACCTCAGGTCACCCTATATTTTGATTGAAATTTATTTTTAAAAAACATTTTTTTTCTGTCTTACTCCAATACAATTATAGTACCACCTTTATATAGATCTTTCTAATAGACTAGAAGAGACAGAAGGTAATTTTTTAAACATTAAAACATGACAAGTTGATGTCATAATTAAGGCTCGGTGTCGCACCCCCCCCCCCCTTTTCACAAATGTTTCACTGCTTAACTTTATCAAACAAAACATGTATTATTATCAGCAGTTTGAGAATCAATGTATTTGTTACTGTGTCAAAAATTGCACACAGGGAAATGAAGACTTCTTCATTCGTTCAGTCATAGACCTAAAGTGTTCAATTTAGGTTTATGGTTCAGTAATATCATCAGTAATCTACTATTCTTAACTCTGCTTAACTAAAAGACAACGAAAAAAGATAAAGGCAAAAAGTATGAAAATAAGCTTCTTAATACATGTAATCGTGTGAAGAATAAAATATTTCTTTCACTCTATAATTTCTCCTATCTTACTTAAACAAAGAGTACACCAGTTCTTTTATCATAACACAAATAAAGGTTATTTTATATCATAATACAAATAAAGGTTACCTCTTTTGCTATAGAAAAAGGAAAATCCACAGACTTTAAGAACTTTAATTGAAAATAAAATTAAGTTCAAATTAAGTTTTAATATCCTGAATTTGTTTTTAAATTAACTGATTTTCAACTACAAACATATAGTGAACAATTGAAATAAAAAGGTTGAGATAACAAACAGAGATTGATCTCAAAAATCCTATTAACAAAGGAAATTGAAAACAGAGTATAACACACATATCCCTAAGTTCAAGAGATAGGATCAGATGCGTAGGAGGGATCATCCCTGGTCACATCAAATTTATTGTCATAAGCCTGCTTTGAGCAATATCTTGCATATGGAATGATAAAATTATGTGTCATATCAATGCGGAGACCGGAGGTCATCAGGTATTATATATCAATAAGGAGACAAGAGTGTGCAAAACAGTCACCAGATACCACCAATGTGGAGACCAGTGGTAAACTAATGTTTCATATCAAAACGGAAACTAGAGATCACCTTATATTGTACATCAATAGGGAGACCTGAGGTCACCTTCTATTGCACATCAAACGGATACCAGAGGCTACCTTATCTTGTACATCAATAGGGAGACCAGAGGACACTGTATATTGTACATAATTATAGAGACAAGAGGTAACATGTTTTGTACATCAATAGGGAGACCAGAGGTCACCTTATATTATACATCAATAGGGAGACCAGAGGTCACTTATTATGTACATCAATAGGGAGACCAGAGGACACCTTATATTGTACAGAATTAGAGAGACCAGAGGTCACTTATTTTATACATCAATAGGGAAACCAGAGGTAACTCATTTTGAACATCAATAGGGAGACCAGTGGTGACCTTATATTTTACATAATTAGGGAGACCACAAATCACCTTATATTGTATATCAATAGGGAGACCATAGGTCACCTTATATTGTATATCAATAGGTCGACCAGAGGTCACTTATTTTGTGCATCAATATAGAGACCATAGGACACCTTATATTGTAGTTAATAGGGAGACCAAAGGTTACCTTATATAGTTCATCAATTGGAAGACCAGAGGTCACCGTATATTGTACATAATAAGGGAGACCAGAGGACACCCTATATTGTACATAATAAGAGAGACCAGAGGTCACCTTATATTGTACATCAATAGGGAGACAAGAGGTCACCTTATATTGTATATTGTACACCAAGAGGGAGACAAGAGGTCACCTTATTATATACATCAATAGGGAGAATAGAGTTCACCTTATATTGTACATCAATAGCAAGACAAGAGGTCACTTATTTTGTACATCAATAGAGAGACTAGAGGTCACCTTATATTGTACATAAATACGGAGACCAGAGGACATCGTATATTGTAAAGAATTAGGGAGACCAGAGGTAACTTATTTTGTACATCGATAGGGAGACCAGAGGTCACCTTATATTGTACATAATTAGGGGGACCAGAGGTCATCTTATATTGTACATTAATAGGGAGACCAGAGGACACTGTATATTGTACATAATTAGGGAGACCAGAGGTAACTTATTTTGTTAGGGAGACCAGAGACCAGAGATCACCTTATATTGTACATAATTAGGGAGACCAGAGGTCATCTTATATTGTACATTAATAGGGAGACCAGAGGACACTGTATAATGTACATAATTAGGGAGACCAGAGGTCACCTTATATTGTACATTAATAGGGAGACCAGAGGACACTGTATAATGTACATAATTAGGGAGACCAGAGGTCAACTTATATTGTACATCAATAGGGAGACCAGTGGACACCTTATTTTGTACATAATTAGGGAGACCAGAGATTACTTTATATTGAACATCTTGTTTCCCTATCAATGTACTTTATAAGTTGATCTCTGGTCTCCATAATGATATCTCTCAGTTGATGCAATACGGAAGAGCATGTTCTACGTATGAACAATTTTTAAAACGAGGTAAGTTATTGACAAAGAAGTTGATGAAGCAAGAATATCAGTAGTCTCGTTTAAAGTTATCATTTCGTAAGTTCTATGGTCGATACAATGACCTTGTTGGCAATATAGTCAAATGCTGACTGACTTTTTTCAAACTGATTGTTAGCCCATTATTCACACACTGAGTTGTCCACGGATTTTTCCGTTTTTTTCCAGAACATGATAAGGAGCACACGGCGAGTGTGACCGGTCGGCATAGGATGCTCACTCCTCCGTGGCACCTGATCCCACCTCTGATATTTAGGAGGTCCGTGTTTGCTCCGCTCCTATTTTGTAAGGTTTAATGGACTTTTGAGCTCGAATACTGTTCGTTATCTCCACATATTTCATAATCTTTATTTGTGTTATGATATAAAAGAACTGTTGCAATCTTTGTTTATGTAAGATATGAGAAATTATGGACTGAAAGAAGTAATTTTTTCTTCACATGATTAAATGTTCAGAAGCTTATTTCCATAATTATTGCCTTTATTTTGTTTTTGAGTTGTCTTTTAGTTAAACAAAGTCTAGTATCGTAGAAGCCTGATCTCTGCATCCACATAAACTTTTTGTGATATCTGGTCTCCCTATAACATTGTAATGTACAATATATGAAGACCTCTGGTCTCCGTATTCATTCACAACTTTACGTGACCTCTGCATTGTCTCCCTAATTATGTTTTATATAAGAGGACCTCTGGTCTTGGCATTTGTATAGACTCTATGTGACCTCTGGTCTCTCTAATGATCAACATAAGGTAACCTTTGGTCTCCACAATGAAGTCCAACATAA